AATCGTAATAATTGAATTAATTAATAATATTGGACAAATTAGTCAAATATAAATTACTAACGTTTTAATCATTTACATAAATATTTTATACTAATCGATTATTCGAAAATTAATTTGTCTAATATAGTAATCGAGTAATCATTAAAGTGCAAATTAAGGAATGTAATTATATTAATTATAATTTTAATACTAAGGTGAACTTATGTTGGATATTAGATTAATTGCGTAATTTACAAAGCTTAATCGACTCATATTGTAATGATAATTATTTGTCAAATTAAATAACTAGAAATTAAATGCGTCATAATAATTATATCTAACCATCCCAGATTACGAAAGTAATAGATCATGACGTCATTGAATAAAACGTTTTAATTAAAGTTCATGGTTGATGAATTACATAATTATATTTGGGAATAAATTATTATTAAAAGGAAAAAAAAGATATTTATATGATAAGAGTCAGGAATAACGAAGTCAACAAACAGATCGTAGACGATAATGGATAGACTAATTGGATGTCATATTTGCGAGTTATTTGACCCTAAGTCATTCTTATATGTTTTGTGCCCTAGCCAATGAGTGGTACCAAGTTTCTTTGGTCGTATCATCTTAGTCTACATGCACAGGTTTTGAGACCACACAAAGAGCTACGCGCTTGTCTCGGTACTTATATCCAAATCAATTCACACACCGGTTCTGTCCGTATGTTACATTTTATAGAGCTGAGCCAGGGGGTGGATTTAATAAAAACAAAAGACAACAGCATGTTGACACGCCGCCCCGCGCCCCCGACCCGCGCACCCCCGCACTGCGCGTCTGTCAAATAATGATACTCATTTGTCAAAGGCAATCGCGGCACCGCACTTTGCTACGAACAAGGCTCTTTATTACGCGATCAAATATACTGAAATGTAGGGAAGCTGCGGGTTTTATTTATAAAGAACTTGCAAACAATGTACACTAAACCTCCACGCAATAGACCAAATAATTTTCAACGGCTAACCTGAATTCGTCAGTACGTTACTGACGGAAAAATTTCTTGTATCGAATTACTAATTTAAGAAGTAATGGTATTAAATAAAACTAGATTAACATTTCAACAAGGTTATTTTTTTATTCAATAAAATCTTGATTATCCTATGTGTTCAACCAGACTATGGCAAATTTCAGCGAAATCTATAGAACCGTTTTGGAGATCCTTCAAACAAATTTCCATTTCTCCTTCTCATTTTTAATATTAGTATGATAAAGTACGATAGTTGCAAAATATGATATACTGCGAAAAATTTATCTTCTGTTGTTCGTATGGATGTATACCTAGAGCCATGACACTAGCTTAAGATGGCTTAAAATTTTCTTAAAGATCCAAGAGATATCTTTTGGCTGTAATAAAATACAATTGCCTTCAGAGTAGTAAATTGGGACTGAATTGTTTCGACATATAAATAGGGCTCGCAGCTTGCTTGCAGGAAGCCCGAGTCTCGCCGCGCGACGTCTCTCGTCGATCCCGTCATTTCTTTTATATTTTTTCATCAATGTCACACGTGACGCCGGAATGTCATTTTCATACGACGTCGAAAAAAATGTTTATTAAGAGTCGGGGCGCCGCGATATTACAATTTTCCACTAGTGATATATGAAAAGTGATTTTTTACGAGAAAATAACAAGGTGAATACGTTGGCGGGATTAAAATACGCGCCAGCGTTCTCTGCGTATGTTTTAATAAAATACGTAATTTGTATATGATTTAATGGACCTAATATATTATAAGAAAATACAATAAAGGAGTGCGACGTTAAATATATATTTTTTTGCGAACAGATTTCTTATTGTCCAGACAGTTACGAATGATTTCATTAAACTTGTTCGTAAATTGATGTGTAATATGAACATTATGGATTTTGAGCGGTTTAAACTGTTTTTGAACAATTGAAGTATTCGTTCAAGTAATCGATAATAATAATTTTCCAAGTTTAAAATCAAAGAGATAAAGAACCAACTAATGTTGTCAAGTTTATTACGATATAATATTATCAAATACAAAAAGAGAGCGTAAGTATTGTTCCGTTTAAGGCCGGTAACGCATCTGCGGTTCTGCAGATTTACGCGGACTTTATAGGCCACTTAAGATTTGTCAAACCGATATCATTAAATAAAAAGTAGCGTTATGATTAGCATTTTCAAAACAATATAGGTATTGGGAGAACGTCAGTGGATGGTCTACAGTCGGGGCGACGGGCGACGGGCGACGCGGTGGAGGCGCGACGCAGCGGCGTGGCAGATGTGCCACCGGTTGTGATTGTCTTGCCGCGATGATTGATGATCTCCCGACGCCGCGCAGGGATGCCACTCACGGGATACAGAAAATAAACTATAAATTAAATAAATATTTTCGCAACATGGTCTGAGTTAAATTAAAGACAAGAGTTACACAAATTCGTGAACGAATGAACGTTTAGGAATATGCATAGTATAAACTAAAAAAAGTTAGAAAGCTAAAGCTATCCATAAACAGTTCAAACTAAAATAATCTATATCTATCTGTCCCATTCCATCGCTGTTATAAAAACGCTGCATTTTGTTGTATTAAAATATTCACGTAAATATTAGAACTGTTTAAACTTTAATATGTTTGTAACAAATTTTATAATCTTGTTATAGTTGAGGAAATGTAAACAATGATAAAATTGAACCGTTATGGAATTATTGTTGTTTTTTTGTTGTTTACGTTCATACTGTTTCACAAATACAGTTGTCTTTACCTTCGAACAATGGAAACTGACCTACGTAAACAGATTAAGGATGTAAACAACGTAATTAGGATGTCAATTGTTTTGTAATAATAGATACCATAGTTGTTTTGCGAGTTTATGTACTTTTATATTCGAGTTAAATTCGGCAGAAGAATTTGGGGATAATCCCCTAGTCTAAGTTGATTGACAGCTTCTTGTTGCACCCTTCTCTACACAAATTTGACTCCGCCTACAAAAATATAATGCTAAAAAAGTAATACTATGTTTTTGCATATTTTTTAAGACATTTTTAATTACATGTTTAAATTGAGATTTCATAACATAGTAGGTCATATAGTTATTTCATATATGATTAATTTATTTTAATTTTATGCCATTTTAACTTACAGTGTGAAGAAAAAAATGTTTTTTTAATTGAATTTCTGAATTTGCTTGAGTGACAACCCTGCACCACTATTCAACTCACGTTTATTCAATATAAGCAAACTGAAGCATAGGCCACAGTAAAAGTTCTTTGCCCAAATATTTCACATTCGTCAACAGTTGCTCCGGCAATGATTTCTGTATATTTATGAGCTCTTTATATAACTAAAGAAAGTTACATATTTCCGGAAAATTAATAGAATGCGGCAGAGTCATAACAAATGTGCTTATTTTATGTCAATCCTTTTCCTATCCTATTAATAATAATTAATAATAAAAAGTATGTTCAATGCACATTAAGATATCACCAAAATGCCTTATACGGCAAAAAAAGATTCTTCACCGTAATCATCTACTACAGAAACACACTGGCCGGAAATATTTTTTAATCAATATTATTCTGTTTATGAATAGAGTGAGTACAAATCTACTTTTACTTTTTATAATGGAAAGTGGCCATTACAATATTTTTATCATAAATGGTGGATTTAAAGTGAAATTGTGAATAAAAACTTCAATGTATAATTACTGTAGCGCCATCTATAATCTACTTGGATAACTACGTTGTGTGCTTAAACGTTAAGTTACGGATGAGCTTACCACGTAGCCGTAAAATTACTTGAATCCATACTATTTTACACGAGTTTTCCATATTCAGTTGTCTATCGAATTTTCTATAATAAATGAAGGAGAAATAGTCAAAAATAAGAAATTAAAACATTAGTATTATTCCTTATTTTAAATATTATCTTTAACGTACGTGAAAATAAGTTACTATTTTTGCAGGAGAGGAATCTTTTCGTAGACACCGTGCAAAACCTTTATAGTGTAACTTGCCGACAATAGATGGCGTTTAAATTTATTAGTCACGAAGATGGTTTTTAAAGACCATTAAAATTAATATACAGTATCTTTATTAAGCTCATATATTGTATTATATTCGTAAGTATGTATTTACTTCATTATTGAAAAAAGTCGAATATGATATAAATAACTATATGATTTAAAATCAAATCAAAAGCCACAAAAAGCCACGAAATACGGATTTCAACAAAAATTAAAAATAAAGAAAAACAAGTAACTTTTTATTCATATTATTTAAAACAATAAAGAACACAAGAGAGTAAATTGTGGTGTCATCAACTTATGATATTTAAATGTTCATTAGATTAATGATAAAATGACCTATAAACTAAAAGTATACACCATTCGTATCTTAGTTTGGTCGCATATCTCCCAGGCACTAGTTCTAGGTAATTACATATTTTAATATGTGAAATATAATCATTTCTTTAAAAAAATAAACTATGTAAAAAAATATCAAAAAGTTACCGCAATATATTTTTAAACAGACAATTGCGTGTTGGCTTGTATGACATTTCCGAGTGTTTTTATACATTTTGCAAATACATAGAAGAAATGTAGTTAATATGTGAGAATTATAAGTTATATAAATTACTGAATAAGAAACTGAATGTTTATATTTCAACCGATATTTAAATGACCATATGTCAAAAACAGATATATGAGTTTGTCCCTTAGGTAAACTTTAGAAGTTATGAAACAAATTTTTTAATTAAAAAAAAACCAAATGATTGAAATTTAGTTGTATTAAAATTTTCTTGTTTTTATATTCCGAATGAAAAATATTGAATTGATGTCAACATTGATTACGATTCCTGAGATTCATAAACAACCTAATTAAGTTGTTTAGTCACCGAGCTTTCTTTCATTCGACTATTAATTAGTTGATCATAGAAAAAAAGGAGTATAAAATCGCACCCCAATTAGCGAAACAATTATTTACAGTCTGGCTTTCGCCGTGAACGCTTCATTAGTAACTTAGCTTGTTACCTTTACTATGTCTGTATCTTCAACAGTGACCGGTCAGTCGTCCCCGCTGACGACCCGGCTATACGCGCCCATCCCAAACACCAGTGACTTCCAGTGGACCCAGGATAATTCAGTTCTTACTACAACGGTAATTGTTTAATATTGATAATTTAATTTAAAGCTATGTTTTTATAATTTGAGGTATAAAAACTTGCATCTATAGCCAAGCATACAACATCAAAAAATTTCAAGTACATATAGATTTCTTTAAAATACCTTATGTAAATTTTATAATTTATACTCTTTTTTTTTCAGAATTCGCAATGGTGTGACGCACCGCCCCCCGAATATAAGGTGTACCCGATGGCCAACTTCACTGATGGCAACGGTGGTCTAATGAATTCAAAGATGAACATCGTCTCGTCCACATCTTATTACAACGGGCAAGATATTAATAATGCATTACTACCACCTTGCCAAAGAGATGTATTAAACTCAAATGGAATATGTGGTAATAACCTGATCAGACCTCCTTTACCGGGTGTCATGAATACAACAATAATGGTTCCTTGTCAGAGAAATGGCCCTAATATCCCCCAACGTAATTGGAACTCTCACGGGACTGAAAGGTACAATCGGCCTGTTTGGGTACCACCGAAAAACACAAACGGAGTAAAGAAGCATAAACGTGTACGAACAGCTTTCACAAGTCACCAAATGATGGAACTCGAACAGGAATACGCACGAACAAGATATTTAGATCGCGCACGTCGTATTGAATTAGCGGAAACTTTAGTGCTGAATGAACGCACTATAAAGATCTGGTTTCAGAATAGAAGAATGAAAGAAAAGAAGGATAGAGCTGAGAATTACGATGATTCAGAAGAGCCAAGTACTACTGATTCGTCACCAGAAATAATCAGTAAAGTCATGCCAGTACATAACCATGAACAATTTTCATTGCAATGCAACACTCCTCATGGTGTCTACCACCAAGGTTCTAATTACTATGTGGATCAGTATCCACCAACTCCTATTACTTTAATGCCTCAGTTACCTATGTACCAAATGAACTTGCCTCAAGAACCTCAGCGTATGGTACCAGAGAGCTATCCTGTTAGTGTTTTAGACAACAATATGGAATTTGAACCACTCCCACCGAATTTGTTGAAAACTGAATCATTTAAGCCGTGTGAATCTAACGAAACATATTCACTGGACGGATCTCCGGCGCATTCAGATATATCTGCTGTTGATTCAGTTAGAAGCGATATCAATGAACAAAATTGGGATTTGTCTTGGATTAAAAGTATTAATTTTCAAGATGAAGCTTAGATATTTGTTACTACATAATTTTATTACTAAACATTATTATAATTTTATTGAAATAGTTTAATAATAAGTTTAATAAGTTTTTAAACATTATTTTATTGTAAGTTTAAATAAATGTAAGATATTTTTGTATTATTGAAAATTTATGAGTAATTTGAATAAAATGTTTTTGTAAATATACATAGCTTATATAATTTATAATGACTACTTATTTTAGTTGTAAAATTAAAGACCTACAATTTTATATATTTTCATTTCATTTAATAAAAAATTTCAATTTTTTTTAGTAAATTATTAGGCTAATTTACTGATTTTAATAACACAATAACTCTATTTATTAAATAAAAATTAAAACAACTCGCTCTCATAATCGTTTCAGTCTAGAGCGCATTCACAAGGTAGCTTTTTAACAGCGTTAAAACAAGGCGTAGGCGTCTCTCGAGCGATGAATACTTTAAAATCACTCTTGTTTCATTTAAACACTACGCGATTAAAAAGATCGCGTTTTGTATAGCAGTTGGCTGTCGCACTAGTGAAAATAGGGCACGCTACTCACCCTAAAGCTGTCACGCGTGGTCAGCCGCTCAGTGGAAATTGCATTTAGAAACTAATCTATCTAATTTAATATACTCCTAAAGGGACTCCTTTTAATAATATATTTTAGTAAATTATTCGTTTTTTAATATATTAATTTATATCATAGATTTAAGACAATTCATTAGATTCTTTGTTACTTTATTGTTAAAAATTGCATTAGTTATAATAAATATTTTTTTATTTAATATTTTATTTATTTATTTCCTCTTATGTTATATACATATATTCTTATTTTAATATTTCTTTGTAACTAAATGCCATGAAATACATTAGAATATAATACAATAATGATATATAGATTGTAAATTCAGAAATTAGTTACTTAATCATATCATAAGGGACTTTCTGTTCAACATCATACCTGGTTTCTTATAAAAATTTGATTTCTTTGATAGATAGGGAAATTAATGTGATTTTACTATACATACTTAAAAATAACACGGAGAGAGATAGCCTGCGCTTACGTATGATTTGCAACAAAAAGTGTTGTATTAAACATTTGTGTTACGGTTTATTTGGTTGTTTGATTTGATTACTGTGTAACATATAAACTAAGTGCTAATTCCTATTATACATATATAAGTTCGTTAAGCTACATTAAGGGCCAATTCCGCAATGTTCAAGTAAGTACTGAATAAGTAACTTGGAATTTGTCAAATAAAGTTTTCGTTGTCGTTTTTAATTCTCCAAAAACTGTGCAATGCAAACTATTTTGACAGGAAATATATCAGATAATTCCTACATATATAAGTTCGTTAAGCTACATTAAGGACCAATTCCGCAATGTTCAAGTAAGTACTTAATAAGCCGCTTGGAATTAATTTGTCAAATAAAGTCGTCGTTGTCGTTTTTAATTCTCCAAATAAGCTGTGCAACGCAAACTATTTTGACAGGAAATATGTCATTTAATTTATTACTTCGACATTATGAAATAAGATCATAAAGTCGCAAATATTGTCAGAATTCGAAGCTTGACCACAGATTTATAATACGACGAATATATACTCACCGTGGAATTCTGAGACCAAAATCTCCGTTTAAGACATATACTTATCTCTGTTTAGTCAAAGCTTATGACAAGGACGACACGTTAAAAATCTATTTTAAAAATATTTGTTATTGATATTAAAACTGCAAACTAAGTTTAAGCAGCTAATGTACATTATCAAATAAGTGAACATACTATGATTCTGTAATGATCAATAAACATTTAATTAAGTACAGATAACATACAATAATGATACTAACCAATAATATATTTTCGAACAGTAATTAATTAATTATCAAACTGAGTTTATGTAATTATAAAGTTATTAATTAACGCTCTTACAATAGTCGTATAAATAACACTTAATTATTTTTTTATTCTTAGTTGTGTCAAATATTTTGACCATATCGTACTGTTTTTCGATTAATGCAAGTGTAAATTTATTTTAAAGTCGAAATAGAAAAGATAATTATTAAATTCTACAATAAACAATGAATATGGAAATCCGTAAAATATTAAATCATTCGTTTAAAACGGAACTTAACAAAAATGTAAGTATTTTTATAATATTTATTTTATTTAGTGTATTTGTGTTAAAGTGTCTTGTGAAGTTTAATCTTGTAATTAATTAAATGTAGAAGACTTTTATGTAGTTTTAAACCTCGTTTCTTTATAATTTAATGTTTTAAGTCATTTTTGTAACTCACATCTATGTATATAGTACAAAAATAGACATGAAGTTTTAATTAATATATGTTTTATGTCTTTACAGAGCTTGGGTCATCATAACAACATTTTTAAAAAGGTTAAAAGGATCAGGAGCGCATTTACGACGAACCAAATAATGTATTTAGAAAATGAATTTCTAAAATCACCGTATGTTGGTGTCGTAAGCCGTAAAGAGATCGCAAACAAATTGAATATACCCGAGAGAGCTGTAAAGGTATGGTTTCAAAACCGTAGGATGAAAGAGAAGAAAGATATTGCACATCGACCTGTCACACAATACCAACATAATAATAAAACGGGACATAATGGTTTTGTTAATGATCAATTAAGTAATATGGAGACATTGCAATCAAATAACAATCTATGTTCACATTCCGTCTTACCGCAACCGAAGTCAAAAACAAGTTTAAACGATTCCGCTATTGATAATTTACTCAAGAAAAATCATAAACAAGTTTCCAATACAACCAAGAGCGTGGAAATTGAGAGTAAATCAACACATGACGATATAACATCACATAATTTTCAAAACAGTATGATAACAAGCAGCAGCAACGAAGTTAAACGCAACCCTGAAGTATCAATAGAGTTGCTAAAAAAATATAAAAACTATATACACACTAACTCTATGAAAAAGGCAGTCAAAAATAAAACTCTCCATCCAAAACACAGCGAAGTTAAGAAGCGTAAGTTAAATACCCAAGGAATGGAGCGAAAAACCCACGGTTCTGTTCCTCGGACAGCGCCATCTATTGTCAAACAGCAAACAATTACACAAATTCCTTCCGGATACATTCCTTTATATCCTCAACAACATAGTCAACAATATCCATCATCTGGAAACTTAATATGGAAACCAATGGGCCCAGCGGACATGTCTATGTGTGATTTCGCCTTCCTTCCTAACCCACATACAATATCCCATCCACTTCCAAAATCAAATAATATGCAAAAAAATCAATGTTCGTGTAATTGTCATATGAATCCTCAATCAAATACAATAGCATTTTCACATGAAATTCCACCGCAATATGTCATAGCGGTGCCTTTTCATAAACCGCCTGTTCAGTTTAGATCCCCCATTTAATATTAAAATTTTTATTTTATTGTCTTTTTTATTTGCTGTTGAATTGTAATTGAAATAGAAGTTATTTTCGGGTTATTTTATTTTATTGAAAAAATAGTTTAATAAAAACTTTTTACAATGTTATCTTATTTTAAAACAATTTAAGTATATTTAAGGAGTTTTATAAATTGTACATTTTATTCAACTTTTACATACATATTATATCATTATAAATATAAATATATGTATTTTTATAAAATAAACTATGTATTAAACATCTGCTTTTTATTTTAAGTTTATTCTGGGCTCAGATATTTAACAGAAATTAGTAATAACTGAGGTTTTTAAAGATATAAAATAATACAATAGAGATAACGAAATATATTTTTAAAATAGAAAAAAATGTAATTTATAGAATCCAAATAAGAAAACAAATAATTAGAAAGAAATATGAAATTATAAAACAGTGTATAAACTCTATAGGTGTACAAAATGGATAGTTAACATTATTTTTATATCTAATTTTACAAAATAACTTAAAAATAACTTGCTCTTTACTTAAATTTCTAGGATCTCAAATATAATCTCTTTAATATCTTAACAATTACATGTACATTTTTCCGCATTATTAAACTATTGTATATAATATAATAATAAATGTTAAATTTTTTTCTCATTTATTTAATGTTCTTAATTTCTTCTGATAATTCACTGGAAATAAAATGTTATTAAAAATAAGGTTTTGACAACCCTAAATTGTAATACTTTTTAAAAATAATTATATTTATAACTTAATTATTTCAGAATACAAATCAATTTAAGAATTTAGTTTGATAATATTAATACAATTATTAAAAAAAATGTTGCATTTTTTTAACGATTTGTTGTTACTTAAGAATTGAATGGAAATCTTTGTAACTGAAAAAAATCTTATGAGATATACTTTGAAGAATTATACATATTTTTAAAAGTTATTAAATTAATTATAATTTTTAATAATTTAATGTTAAACACAAAATGTAATAATTACGTACTAATTAAAAGCTAAAGAGAATGATTGTTACATTATTCGTTCAAAATAACTTGACATCGACTTAATGAAAACGATACAAATAAAAATTAATCAACACATCAAAACATTCGTCTCATTTAAATAAATATTTATTGTACAAGTTAAATATTTGAAAAAGGTTTTGGTGAACCTACAAAAAAAAAAGATTGTTAATAAGAGATAAATTTTTTATGCTGTGATCATTTTCAAAAACGTTAATATTTTTTATTACAAATAAATTATTTTAAAATATATTCTAATTTCCGGGTCTATATAACCCGGAAAGATAAATGTCAATAAATATATCTATAACGTAACAATCCTATATATTATTAAATTAATAATTATGTAATATATAATATATTAGATATGTAAATAACTTAAATCAAAACCATCACTGGACCAAGTTTGTGGTGGACAATATTGATAGTATCCATTTGGTTCTTTATTGTAATTATCTGTTTTTAAATAAGGATAATATTGTGCTGGATATCCATAATTATCATATAATGAAGTATGTATAAAGTTATTATCTAAGTTAGCTTGACTTAATTCTAACTTAAAAGTTGAATGATTTTGTTCGGAACTATCTTGAACGTTCTGTGAAATGTTGTAAGAATAATCTATATTATTTGTATTATAATTAACAAATGTACTTTGTGTATTTAATTCTGGACTTCCCTGTGACTCTGGTGACATCGAATCAGTGTACTGTTCGCTCAATGAATCGCTCGATTCAGAAGCTTCTCTTTTCTCTTTCATTCTCTTATTTTGAAACCAGACCTTTAAGCATTTCTCAGCAAGTCCTAGTACTTTAGATAAGTCTCGACGACGCTCACCGTCGAGATATTTAGAGCTGGCAAATGTTTTCTCTAAAACTTTTAACTGCTCCGTAGTAAATGTTGTTCGTTTTCTTTTGTTTTTACGTATTTTCTTTGTTATATTCGGTCCTGGAAATTATAAATATTAATTTAATAAAGATAAATATGACAAAAGTTTAAAACCTTGTCAAGATTTTTATAAATTTAAAAATTATTTTTATTTCAAATTACAATCAAATTGTGAAAATTGTTTGTTTAGGTGATCTGTAGAAAGTAATTCAAGAAGATAACAAACCTTTATTACTTTTGTGCTCATGTTGATATGGTGAAACTTCAATAAAAGGCTTATTTTGCCAGTGATAAAGCTAAAATATAAAAAAAACAGGTTAAAAACTATTTGGTTGATATTGCTTGGAATAAATACATTTCATTACAATTAGAAGTTAAGTAATAACAAAATAGTAATTAGATCACTGCCCATGATGGTTAATTTCACTATCGATTTACGATTTTAGGAAATTTACTATCATGGATCGTTTAAACTACTAATGTCTTTCTTTAAATATTTCGTCATACAACTTTTCATATGTTCATTTAGCAATTTAAAATAATTAATATATTTACCTCATTCATGTTATTTAAAGGTGTCAGGGTTGTCACAAATTCCTCTTGAAACATTATAAGATGTATTAATTCAATTGATTATAAATAATTTTTATAATTAAACACCGAATCGACAAAATTTAAACCGTAACTGCGATCACTGGTAATAAAATGGTGCACTCGATACAAATGTTTTTCTAGTACCCGCTATTTTATGTTTATAATTCTACAATAAATTAGAAAAGAACGACGGTAGTTGTTTACGGTATGATAATAAAGTGTAGTATGGATAAGCCATATTGAATATTATTTTTAAAATTTATGGTTTCATTTGAAACTTTTGACTTAAAAATTATTGTCACGGTACAAACTAATATAGCTATCACTAATTTTAGGATTATAAAAATTATCTTCAAGAGATATTTTGTTTTGAAAAATAACTAAATACGACAGGAGAATGACTTCTGTATGGAAACAAGATATGTAAACACAGTAATTAGTATTCATTTGTTAATTACTAATCAAATTTAAAAATATCTTAAAGCGGGGTTGTTTTTGTTAATGAGTTTTGATTTTAATACAGGTATAAAAGGGTTAAACATTTTGTTATTCATATCATTAGTATCCAGTGCATATTGAAGACATGTTCCGATCACAACGCCAAGGGAACCCCGATATGGTTTCTACTAATATTTGTGCTACAAATTACACAAATTATGTGTTTAGTACAACTTCATCAAGGATACCAACATATTATGATGTAAGTTAATTAATATTTTTTTATTTAGTCTTGTCCATGTTATATTTCTTGTGTACTTTGTAGGTATCCTATACATTTCGACGCATAAAAGGATAGTAACATATTTTAAATTAAAATTTGAAACGTAGTTGTTTTTAGAGATGTTTTTATGAAAAATTAATCTTAGATTAACAATTTAATATTCAAAGATAACTTAATTGTGTGACGACTTACAACAGAAGATGACGCGCATAAAAAAACGTCACCCGTTGTCGTAAAACGTATCCTTTATTTTGTTTTTTTCTACAAAATTTGCGGAAAAGTTTTTAATAAATGTGACGATAAATTAAAAAAAATGTATTTTTATCTTTTATATAAATATACGAGTATTACAAGTATTAAAAACATCTCAATTAATTTCTAGACAAATCCTACAAGAGACTATTCTGGTTGCTGTCTTAATCATCGGACGTCTGGTAGAAAATATCGTGAGTCTATAATTTGTAAGTATATAAAGTTTAAAGGTTGTTAAATAAATAATTTTTTTAGTCCTTAATATGTATTTAACGTTTTACTTTTATTCCAGACCGGCGTCCAGAAAACTTGATAATAAAACGTAAACGAAGACCTGTATTCACAACGCAACAGATATTAGCATTAGAGAAGATCTTTAACAAGAAGCCATACGTAAATAAACAAGAAAGACAAATGTTAAGAGAAAGGATAAACCTTAACGAACGCGTTATAAAATTATGGTTTAAAAACCGTCGTCGATTATCTGGTTTAAAAAAAGAATCACCAGTAATTTCTGATTCTTCCGGAGAAGAAACAGAGAACAATTTTAATTTAGATTACGTACAATCCAGAATAAATGAACCTGACGAATTTGGTTACGTCACTTTGGATGATAGAGCCATGAAGGAATTGATAACTGTCGTTGATTCGCTTTTAACAGATGTAGATGTTGATGGCACTTGTATGGAATTAAAAAATAATACTACTTACAACAATTTAAACTACGAACCAGTATCACCAGTTAGCTTTCATGGAAATTCAGATGAAAGTATATGTTTCCCGAAATGGGAACTTTACGAACCTGAAGAGTCTTTAAGGCGTTTATTCGATGTTCAAGCATTAATAACTAAATAAATATTTACTATTTAAGTTAATTTATTAATTAATGCATGTTACAATATATTTTAGATTCAATTGTTTTAATTTAGTGTTTGTAATTTTTTTTATTTGTTTTCCTCAAGTCGTTTTAGGTAATATTAAAAAATAAATAAAAAATTATATTGTATTTAAAACTTTTAATAATTTTAAGAATTACATGTAACAATGATCAATTATAATGTATTCAACATTAACAAAAAAAATGTATAAAAGTGCATGTTAAGTAAATAGTATAAAAATAAGTAGTTATTCATTTGTTTGTAAAATGAACTAAATTATTAAATTATTTTTTTATATTTACATTAATATGTTACTTAAATTATAAGATAAATTTTAGAACCGTATAATACAATGAGGTAGGATGATAATTGGCAATGGTAATTTGCATATTGCCACTTTATACTATAGTCAACCTTCTTGAATGAAGTTACCATAAATCGAGATCTTCCAATTTAGAATTGTTACGTTAAATTAAATTTTCTTGTAAATAACGTTATCTTACAAACTTATATAAGAAGAAAATTTACTATTACTTGTAGTACTAGGTTGACTGTTAGCATCAGAAGTGGCCAAGTATGAAAAATAAGCGTCTTGCGCGAACGACGCGTTTGCGGGCCTTGATTGCACATTTTCTTCGTAAGTCGGATTAATCGTAGTCGGTATTGGAGCATTAAAGGTATACGCGTCTGTAGTAGACGCATGCATTGCGACACCGCTGGATAAAGCATTATAATACGCCGAACCAGACGGGTACCTTGTCATATCTTCGCTTAACTTCAAGTTAACTCCGTTCGGTACGTAACTATCCGACGGTAGTGATAGTGCATTCGAATTCGGTTGCAATGAATCATCGTTCGGGTACCGATAAACTTCAGACATCGGTGAGTAAGCCGGCCTACTTGTGCCTGCGCAGTAATAAGATGTATACGATAGGTTCGGTGTATACGATGGCAACTCAATAGAACTCTGCGGGCCTTTAATTACAGTCTTCAAGCTGTTAATAGAAGAGTACTCTGAAGGCCTGGATGTGTCATTTGGGATCACATATTTATGAGTCGCATGACTGTCCGTGAGTAGTCGCCTGTGCCGGTCGTGACCTCCACAACTTCTTCCATGACTTAACTTATGATCTTGACTCGGAGACATTTCTTTGGAACTCGATGGGCTGTTATCGTCCACGGATGAGGAAGGTTTATTATGCTTATTGTCTTTCTTATACTTCATTCTTCTGTTTTGAAACCATATTTTAATTTGACGTTCCGATAGTTGGAGATAATTTGCGAGCTCGATTCGTCTTGGTCGGCAAAGGTAGCGGTTTTGGTGGAACTCATTCTCTAATTCAACTAATTGTGAACTCGTGTAAGCAGTCCGGGCTCGTTTAGTAAAGACTTTTTGATAAGATGTAGCGTCTGAAGACATACCTGAAAAAGTACATTTATTTATTATTTATATAATCTGTATATTACATCATCTAACTCTACGTGAATGTAAGCTTTCCCAAAAAGCCAGCATAAGTGTCCCACGGAGAAATCCCTAAATTGCGATGTACATTTTTAAACAATATGAACTTGAGGTATGAGGTTTGGTTTTAATAGATAAAAAGAAGCTAGACTATATTATGATGTAGGATTTAATGCCCTTTGGAGAAAACAGTGATCGCACTTTCTCATAATTTTATAAATAAATAAAATGAATAACTTACCGTTTGATAAAGATGAAGGACCACTTATGACAGGATTATTTAAAGCTGAAGCTGTTTTGTTCCAATTCTGAAATAATACATAGCTTTGTTTTAAACACTATCGTTAAAAATGCGACCAACTACGATAAAGTTTTAGAATGAAATAAGGTGTCAAGCCGTATAGGCTATAATCACTCCTATCAGTGACCAAATTAAAAGGTCATTAAAAATCCGGTTATTTTGTGGTAAATCACAGTTTTGACAATATTTCTTCATGATAAGTTTGCCATTTGATTCTACTCGTTATTCGAATGACGTTAAGGTACAATTTTGTTTACGCATATTTACCTGGTTCGGGAAACTTGATTCATTTATGTCACTTGTAGTATCTTTTACAACATTGTCTAAACCGCTAGTATGGTGACATCGCATAGCTTCATTAGCTAAATAGTTTCTGTCGTACGTAACTTGGCTTTCAATTTGTACATTAGGGGCTAAGAATAAGTCATTTTTGTTCATACAATCATCGGAGTTTACTTCTTCAGGTCCAGAGCCGTAATTGTTATGGGAACTGTTGCTTATGTTTTCATAATTTGGTATTTGATAATCATATCTCTGTTCCAAATCCTCTTGTGAGTTAGCAGCATTGTAAGATTGATGTAAACCAAGAATATCATGGATACTAAAACCAGTTGAGTCTCTTGAGTTATAATCTTGAGAGAATGTGTTTGATATAACATTTAATACTTCTGACTTGCAATCCGGGAATACATTCTCTGTGGCACCATAGTTAACTCCTTCACCTAATATATCTTCAACTCCATGCGATGTAAGACCTCCTTTGAAAGCTTTCTGGGGGTCTTCTACGTCCGCGTTGGAATTGTAATGTGCTGGAATCGTTGATGAGAAATCGGATGAAGTTGAATCTCGCGATTCTTCTGAATGTAAGCTCGAAGGTGATGGGGTACACGAAGACATTTTTAATTTTAATACTTAGCTTTCACTTTATCTTTAATCACTTTGATATTGGTAATATCATTTGTACACCAACATATTGCACTGAGGCGACCGTGTCGTAAAACTTTTGTTTACTAAATGCATTTTGTTCACCTGAATGTCGTTAATTTGGTAATGACTGTGTACGTTAGTGTGTCGCATTCTGTCTGTGCTGTTTTGTTTGTGTGCAACTGATAAGTCGGACATACCGGGTCCCCGATAATAAACGAAGTCAAGATAAAACTTTAAAATATATCTCCAATAGCTAAAAGGCATGTCACATCTAATACAAAAGTAGAAATATCGGATTTGTTGACAATAGTTAGAATAGGTAATTTTTTTCACAAACGGAACGCTGTAAATCTCTGAAAAAGTATAGAGACATAAAAATTAGACCTTGTAAATAGAGCTCAATAAGTTTTATAACAGTAATACCGCAACTAAAATAAAAAGTAACCCCTAAATCTAAGTATGTGATATCTTGCACAATAAGTTGGAATATTAAAACAAACTTTGTCTCATACGAGATTCGAATCTTGGTATAGCGATTGATGGTTAGACCTTCTTTTTACTCTTCTCTTTTGAGAACTTGATCTAAAATACATAAAGCAGTCTTTAGTATTAAGGTTGATATGTACTTATATTTTAAACTAGGTAGCGATATGACGAAACCACAATAATTGACGTAGACAATGCGAAGGTAATGTAGGTCCCTTCATACGTCCACGCCGACCTGATACTAAACTCGTTAAGATAATATTTAATCTTATAAAAACTACGACACTAAAATTTATTGTAGTTTTAAATAATTCGCTTATTTAATTCATTGACCATGTACGTATGTATTTCAATCCTTGATAAGTAAGCGAATGATGCCTGGTACAGTAGGACAGTTAGCTGTCCTGGCATGGACTGTAAGCGTTCACTGGCGCCAGTTAACGTTTACATTATGCCAGTTGTACGCCAGCGCTGATTTTGATTGTTATTGACAAATGAAATAGTTAAGGTGTGTTTCCACTGTCATGTAAAAACAGACTTAAAAGGAGGTGTTCCTGTAGTGGAAACACACGGGTTAGATAATTAACTGACCAAAATATTAGCCGTCTAAACCACTTACAGTTTTTACTGCACAGACTGTTCAGTTACCTGAAGGTTAGCTTGCTTAACCTGACATATGTTGTTGGGACCGGAACTTTTTTATTGAATAAATGAGTAATTTTTTGATTATCTTTTTATTAGGATATGTTTTTGGGTTCGACTTTGTGTATTATAGCCGTCAGTCGGGTGCACTTGGATTCAGTTGATGCGTCCGTGCCATTGTCGTGTTTTGATTAATGCGTTTGCGCCGTGAGAGCTCGATACGTTTGTGGCTTATTTTTATTACAATCTAACACATTGAATAAACTCGACAACTCTGTGGAATAACGTTATTTGACGTATACAAGGATTTATTTAAACCTATAACTTATAGTACACTAAGTTGTATATGCAAAATATTTTAACAATTAGAAACGACAAAATTTACTAGGTATGTTTTTGAATTGATTTTGTACATGAAGGATGAATTGTGATAAACGATACGTAAATAATTGTAGATCAGAATAAGCACAGAACTGTTCGTTCGTAAATTATCGTAACGAGTATTTGAATGTAGGACCGTAAGCTACGTTTTGTAAGCGCTGAACTATGGGTAACTACATTTAGCAAGAAATATTATATATTAGATTAAATTTTAATAATCTTCATGGTTTTTGTCATAACTCCTTTGCAGTAACTGTGAATATTGAATATGACATCAGCAAAATTCATTTGAAAGAATATCGCAACCGTTACAGCAATAAATTTTAACTTCTTTTGTACAAAAGCAAACTAGTCGCACCAAAGTCCCTAAGCTCATAACGTCAAAGCGATGATATATTACGATTTACTCAAAGGGGACCCTTTTTTGTTCTCAGCGTAATGGTTTCACGTTAATCGACACCCGTGAGATGGTGCTATATGTTGATTAGCACGTGGGAAAGAGACGCAAGATAAAATGCATCTGTTCCCGCCAACAGGGAAAAGTTGTTCAGATATAGTACTGGAGATGGTCTACCGACCGTCAGCAGTTTGTTGTAAGCGGCGTCATGGTGATGTTTGTTGTTCATATTAAAGTGTATTAATAAAAATAATATATTCATCGTGTAAACAAGTAAAGATGGACAAGAAGTATAACAAATCAACAAATAGGATTTGCATCAACTTCCACAATTTCCTAAGGTATCATAGTACTTAATTTTTTTATTATCATTTATATTTG